CCTTCCTGGCCAGGGGAAAGCTCCTCTCACCTGTAAAGGGTTAAGAAGCTAAAGGTAACCTCGCTGGCACCTGACCAAAATGACCAATGAGGAGACAAGATACTTTCAAAAGCTGGGAGGCGGGAGAGAAACAAAGGGTCTGTGCGTCTGTCTATATGCTGGTCTTTACCGGGGATAGACCAGGAATGGAGTCTTAGAACTTTTAGTAAGTAATCTAGCTAGGTATGTGTTAGATTATGATTTCTTTAAATGGCTGAGAAAAGAATTGTGCTGAATAGAATAACTATTTCTGTCTGTGTATCTTTTTTGTAACTTAAGGTTTTGCCTAGAGGGGTTCTCTATGTTTTTGAATCTAAATTACAAGCTGGTAAAGATAAGCTTAGGAGGTTTTTCATGGGTACAGATGTGGGGACCTGCATGAAAAACCTCCTAAGCTTATCTTTACCAGCTTAGATCAAAACTTCCCCAAGGTACAAAATATTCCACCCGTTGTCCTTGGACTGGCCGCTACCACCACCAAACTAATACTGGTTACTGGGGAAGAGCTGTTTGGACGCGTCCTTCCCCCCAAAATACTTCCCAAAACCTTGCACCCCACTTCCTGGACAAGGTTTGGTAAAAAGCCTCACCAATTTGCCTAGGTGACTACAGACCCAGACCCTTGGATCTTAAGAACAATGAACAATCCTCCCAACACTTGCACCCCCCCTTTCCTGGGAAATGTTGGATAAAAAGCCTCACCAATTTGCATAGGTGACCACAGACCCAAATCCTTGGATCTGAGAACAATGAAAAAGCATTCAGTTTTCTTACAAGAAGACTTTTAATAAAAATAGAAGTAAATAGAAATAAAGAAATCCCCCCTGTAAAATCAGGATGGTTGATATCTTGCAGGGTAATTTAGATTCAAAAACATAGAGAACCCCTCTAGGCAAAACCTTAAGTTACAAAAAAGATACACAGACAGAAATAGTTATTCTATTCAGCACAATTCTTTTCTCAGCCATTTAAAGAAATCATAATCTAACACATACCTAGCTAGATTACTTACTAAAAGTTCTAAGACTCCATTCCTGGTCTATCCCCGGTAAAGACCAGCATATAGACAGACGCACAGACCCTTTGTTTCTCTCCCTCCTCCCAGCTTTTGAAAGTATCTTGTCTCCTCATTGGTCATTTTGGTCAGGTGCCAGCGAGGTTACCTTTAGCTTCTTAACCCTTTACAGGTGAGAGGAGCTTTCCCCTGGCCAGGAAGGATTTCAAAGGGGTTTACCCTTCCCTTTATATTTATGACATCTCCTCATATGGAAGCTCTTCCATACCCCTAATCATATTTTTTTCCCTTTTCTGAACCTCTTCCAGTTCCAGTATATCTTTTTTGAGATGTGGCAGCCACATCTGCATGCGGTATTCAAGATGTGGGCGTACCATGGATTTATAGAGAAGCAATATGATATTTTCTGTCGTCTTCCCTATCCCTTTCTGTTTGCTTTTTGACTGCCTTTGCACCTTGAGTGAATGTTTTCAGAGAACTCTCCACAAGGACTCCAAGATCCCGCTCTTGAGTGGAAACAGCTAATTTACACCCTATCATTTTATATGTATAGTTGGGATTATGTTTTCCAATGGGCTGCAATACGTGCTATCCTGACATCTAGTACTGCTGAGCTCCTGCATTCAGTAATATCCCTGCCCTTCCTGTTTCCTTTCTCCACTGAACCCCACCAGCCCATGCTTACTGTTCCCGGCTTCCCCAGGACTGACTCATTGTCTCTGGACTTCTCTGTCAGCAAGAAGCAATGCCAGGGAGACTTGCCCTCTGTCTGGAATCTTCGAATTTTGGGACAAGGATTTACTTTCTCTGTGTTTTTAGGAGACTCTTTGAAACTGAGCGTCTGTGACATTAACCACAGTACAATCTGAACTATTGAACAGCTGTTTCCGCTCATTTCCCCAAGCTGCAGTGCCTTTTACACGAGAAGAGCCACTCCTGGGCGGTTAACACACAGTCTCCAGCATGTAACTCGCTCCCAGCTTCACAGTATTGACTGCTGCTAGTCAGTGACTCTCAAGTTACAGTACACCACAGGAGAACCTCAGAAAATTCTCTGGTCCCAGACTTTCCCCCAGAAATGTGCATCTTGCATTGTCCAGCACACTACTGAACAATGTAAACTGATACGAAGTCTGTCATTTCATCAGTGGAAAATGACATACACCAGCCTCGTTATTCCAAATGGAGTTTCCAACACACTTTAATCCAAACACACTGGTTACATAAAACAATAAAACAAAATTAACTACCTAAAAAAAGGATTTTAAGTGACGACAGGTAATGAGGCCTAAAAGTCAGAATTGTTTACAAAAAAAATACAAGATAAAACAGAAACTAACATCTAACTTAACAAGCTAAAACGGATTCAAAGCAAATGTTTCTCTCTCCATATGCCAAAACAGGCTGGTGGCTGTCCTTTCAGCCAGGACTCCCCTAACCCGCCCCTGCGCCCTAGTTGAGTTCTTCAGGAGTTGTCATGAACAGAGGAAAAGGGGGGGGAGAGAGAGAGTCTCAAGCATTTTCCTCACCTCTTTTTATAGTTCAGTCCTTTGTACTAGAAAGAAATTACGTTCTCAGCTGAGTGATGGTGATAGGCTGTCTGTTGTCGATATGAGTTTCAAGTGGTCCCTTTGAAGGAATGTAAATATCTCCTTTACACCTTCCCACTTCCGGAGAATGGCTATTTGACCAGCTGTTTGCCTTGCAGCCTCTGAGGGAACTGGTCTGTGGGTGTTCCCCAAAATTATAACTTTTCAGTAATATCATACAGTAAAATCTCATAACTTTACTTACAGTGTTGCTCCACATTTTAACAGGAGGATAATATCCAGTAGATTATGTGATTTCAAATGATATCTCACAAGCCATACTATGTCCCAAATTGATCATAATTTTCTGGAAGAGTGAACATAGGGGTACAGAATGACACAATGTCTCTCTGTGTGTGTTCCCAGCAGATATGTGAGTATTTGGCATCTTAAAGGACCGGGGGAGCTGGTCCTGGGGAATTCACTGGTTTACTAAGTGTGACACTATGTGGAATTGTGAGACTCTTTATATTATTATTTTATTATTAATACCAATATGATAAAATTGCAATGAATCATGCTAGATGTGCCATGTAAGCCGTCAGTGAAAATATTATGATTTTCCAAGTATGATCGTTTTCTTTCTGTTTGTATCACCTTTCTTTTGTGAGATATAGAGATGTAGGGTATATTTGTAGTTCCAGACTTGTGTAGTGTTTCTGGGTGACACCCCCAGACATATTGGCGTCAGCACTGCCTAGCCTGTTCGATGGCCCATCCAGGGTCATCAGCTGTACAATGAGCCCATGGAAAGGACCAAGGGGATACACCTATTGAGTCAGCGAGACATGCAGGGGTGCGCCTGTGTACTGAGAACTCCAAGGCTTTTCCATGCCATCTGCTGTGAAATTTGTGTTTGGGACACACGAAGTACAAACCACATGGCAAAAGGAATATACAGAGGGTAGCTGCATCGTCTCCATTTTGTCTTCAATCCCTCTTCCTACCTCTGGAGCAACTTCTCTACAAACTGAAGCCTTGAACAAAGGACTGAATGACCCATCCAAGCTGTGGATATGTTCCAGATGGATTTTCAAACCACTAACTCACCAGTACTGCTAAGAACCTGATGTACAGATTTCGGAATGTACCTGACTGCTTTCCCATTTCACTTCTTTCTGTCTTTCTTTTGTTTAAACCTTTAGTTTAGATACTAAAGGATTGGCTGGCAGCATGGTATTTTGGGTAAGATCCAAACCTATCGTAATCTGTACTGATGCTAACCCCTTGGGATCAGAAGAACATTTTGTTTTTGAGCAAAGTTTTTAAATCACCTCTCACTGTAGTGGACCTAGGTGCTGACTGGGACTCAGAGAACTGGAATGCAATAAAGGGGGCTGTGTGATTTCTTTTTTCAGCTTCTCGGTAACCAGTGTGGGTGATGAGAAGCAGTTTGTGACTGGTCGGTGAGTTTAACTTCAGTGTTAACCACCAGTTTGGGGAGGATATGCTATCCCTTTTTCAGCCTGCCCTGACCTTGGCCTTTTCAGTGACGGACTGCTCCAGGCACACCAGCTCACACTAAGCACTGAAGTTAAATTAATAGAATGTTTGTTTTTTTCATGACAGAGTCTTATGAAATCAACTAAAGTCCTTTGTTTTGTTTCATCTGAGCAGGGTTTCCAGTTTCCAAACCTGATGTGATCTCCCAGCTGGAACAAGGGGAAGAGCCATGGGTCCCAGAGGAAAGAGAGATCCTGAGAGCTCCCTGTATAGGTGAGGAAACATTAAACCAACTCAGAATCTATAAGGGCCTGAAAGAAACCTCTGGGATGCCCTACAAAGTGTTGGGAGGTCTCTCAGTTCATTATTGTCTCTAGCAGGGGACGTATCCTCAGGGTAAATATAGCTCATGGCTTCCTATAGATCCTAGCAGACACCAGGCAGAAGTTTCCTCCCTTCCCCCTGTGAATTTGGATGGGATGTGAAGGCTGAATTGATCCCCCTCCTCTCTCCTATTTGGTGGAAGAGTCTGGGGATGTTCAGTACCTGATTTTTATTTGACCCCTCTCCAGCACTTGTTTTCGTTTGGTTTTCCCCTTTCCATCCCTGTTTGAGGTTTCTCTCTCTATCACAGCAGGTGATGCAATCCTCTGTGAGAAGGAGGAGCAGAATTCTCAGCAGGAAAATGTTGAGCAAGTGGATAAACACAGAGAATTATCGCAAAGATGGAAAAGGAATGTGTCCAGGAGTCATGAGCAGGGAAAATCCTTTGCGATTCATCACAGACCAGAAAGAGAACAGGGAAACCACCCATTGGAGAAAATGGGTAAATATATTTCCTGTTGGGGAACTCAGCAGGGCCTCAAGGGAACCAGAACCCAACAGGAAATCCTCAGGAGAAAGATGAAAAATACATGCAGTGAGTGTGGGAAAAGCTTCACTCAAAGATCAGGCCTTTCTGCTCATCAGAGAATCCACACAGGGGAAAGGCCCTACAAATGCAGTGAGTGTGGGAAAAGCTTCATTGAAAGATCAGCCCTTTTTCAGCATCAGAGAATCCACACAGGGGAGAGGCCCTATGAATGCAGTGAGTGTGGGAAAAGCTTCATTGAAAAATCAGGCCTTTTTCGGCATTATAGAATCCACAGAGGGGAGAGGCCCTACGAATGCAGTGAGTGTGGGAAAAGCTTCATTGAAAGATCAGCCCTTTTTCAGCATCAGAGAATCCACACAGGGGAGAGGCCCTATGAATGCAGTGAGTGTGGGAAAAGCTTCATTGAAAAATCATCCCTTTTTCAGCATCAGAGAATCCACACAGGGGAGAGGCCCTACGAATGCAGTGAGTGTGGGAAAAGCTTCATGCAAAGATCACACCTTTTTGACCATCAGAGAATCCACACCGGGGAGCGGCCCTATCAATGCAGTGAGTGTGGGAAAAGATTTATTCGAAGATCAAAACTTTTTAAGCATCAGAAAATCCACACAAGGGAGAGGCCCTACAAATGGATTGAGTCTGGGAAAAGCTTCACGAACAGCTCAGCCCTTTCTGCTCATCAGAGAATCCACAAAGGGGAGAGGCCCTACAAATGCGGTGAGTGTTGGAAAAGCTTCAATAGCAGCTCAGCGCTTTCTAATCATCAGAGAATCCACACAGGGGAGAGGCCCTATGAATGCAGTGAGTGTGGGAAAAGCTTCTTTCAAAGATCCCACCTTTTTCACCATAAGAGAATCCACACCGGGGAGACGCCGTATGAAAGCAGTGAGTCTGGGAAAAGCTTCACGAGCAGCTCAGCCCTTTCTTATCGTCAGAGAATCCACACAGGGGAGAGGCCCTACGAATGCCGTGAGTGTGGGAAAACCTTCACTAGCAGCTCAGCCCTTTCTTCTCATCAGAGAATCCACACCGGGGAGAAGCCCTACGAATGCTGTGTGTGTGGGAAATGCTTCACTAGGAGCTCAGACCGTTCTAAACATCAGAGAATCCACACAGGGGAGAGGCCGTATGAATGCAGTGAGTGTGGGAAAAGCTTCACTCAAAGATCAGACCTTTGTTATCATCAGAGAAGCCACACAGGTGAGAGGCCCTACGAATGCAGTGAGTGTGGGAAAACCTTCACTAGGAGCTCATCCCTTTATAAACATCAGAGAATCAACACAGGGGAGAGGCTCTGTCATAAATATAAAGGGCAGGGTAAACACCTTTAAAATCCCTCCTGGCCAGAGGAAAAACCCTTTCACCTGTAAAGGGTTAAGAAGCTAGGATAACCTTGCTGGCACGTGATCAAAATGACCAGTGAGGAAACTGTCTGTGTGATGCTTTTGCCGGGAAGAGAAAAGGAATGAAGTCTTAGAACTTAGTAAGTAAGCTAACTAGATATGCTGTAGATTCTGTTTTGTTGAAATGGCTGATAAAAGAAGTTGTGCTGAATGGAATGTAGATTCCTGTTTTTGTGTCTTTTTGTAACTTAAGGTTTTGCCTAGAGGGATTCTCTATGTTTTGAATCTGATTACCCTGTAAGGTATTTACCATCCTGATTTTACAGATGTGATTCTTTTACTTTTTTTCTTCAATTAAAATTCTTTTAAGAACCTGCTTGCTTTTTCATTGTTCTTAAGTTCCAAGGGTTTGGGTCTGTGTTCACCTATGCAAATTGGTGAGGATTTTTATCAAGCCTTCCCCAGGAAAGGGGGTGTAGGGTTTGGGGAGGATTTTTTGGGGAAAGACGTTTCCAAGCGGGCTCCTTCCCTGTTATATATTTGTTAGACGCTTGGTGGTGGCAGCAATAAAGTCCAAGGGCAAAAGGTAAACTAGTTTGTACCTTGGGGAAGTTTTAACCTAAGCTGGTAAAAACATCTGTACCTTAAAGCTCAAAGTGGGGAAGGAACCTTGACAGGCCCTATGAATGCTGTGAGTGTGGGAAAAGCTTGACTCAAAGATCAGAACTTTATAATCATCAGAGAATCCACACAGGGGAAAGGCCCTACAAATGCAGTGAGTGTGGGAAAACCTTTTCTAGCAGCTCAGTCCTTTCTAGTCATCAGAAAATCCACACAAAGGAGAGGCCCTACGAATGCAGTGAGTGTGGGAATACCTTCTCTTGGCACTCAGCCCATGTTAGCCATCAGAGAATCTGCAAGGGAGATCAACACCATAAAAACCTCTAGGGCTATCAGTACTTCTTTTCTTTAATACTTCTCCTGATTCCTGCATAGTAACTTGGAATGCTGTTTGAACTGTTTGCTGCACCGTTATCCCTCAGCTTATCCAGATGAGTGCCCCATTTTTGCCTTTTGCAGTTTGCCCTCTTGAGGTGGACCTATTTGTCCTTTTTATTGTCCCATGAGTAATTTGAGTGTGCGCTTCCTATCAGGAACCAGGGAGCATCACATTTATACCATTCCTCCTATTGCAAATTTATTGTTAGTCACCAATGATACAGATTGTATCATTGCCAGTTGTTCTCATGTTGCTCTGGGTTTTGCTGAAGAGCAGTTATATTGGGAACTTTTCAAATTATATGTAAATGAAGAGAAACGGGGGCCAGAAAAAAAAAGTATAATTTCAGCCTCTGTGACACTGGAAGGAGATGGGGTGACTCAGAGATTTCCTCCTTCCCCATCGTTGCAGAACTGTTAGCTTTTGTCTGAGCCATGTCGAGTTTACCTCTAAAAAGAAAAGGAGTACTTGTGGCACCTTAGAGACTAACCAATTTATTTGAGCATGAGCTTTTGTGAGCTACAGCTCACTTCATCGAAAGCATACCGTGGAAACTGCAGCAGACATTATATACACACAGAGATCATGAAACAATACCTCCTCCCACCCCACTGTCCTGCTGGTAATAGCTTATCTAAAGTGATCATCAAGTTGGGCCATTTCCAGCACAAATCCATGTTTTCTCACCCTCCACCCCCCGCACACAAACTCACTCTCCTGCTGGTAATAGCCCATCCAAAGTGACAACTCTCTTCACAATGTGCATGATAATCAAGGTGGGCCATTTCCTGCACAAATCCAGGTTCTCTCACCCCCCTCCAAAAACCACACAGGCAAACTCACTCTCCTGCTGGTAATAGCTTATCCAAAGTGATCGCTCTCCCTACAATGTGCATGATAATCAAGGTGGGCCATTTCCAGCACAAATCCAGGTTTTCTCACCCCCCGACCCCCATACATGCACCCCCCGACCCCCATACATGCACAAACTCTCCTGCTGGTAATAGCTCATCCAAGGTGTGGGCCTTTTCTCTCTGGGCCAGGAAGGAAAGGAGTGTGTAAATGAATTTACCTCTCCCCCCTGCATCCCAGCCAAGGAGCATTCTAGCGTGTCTTTGCTTTACACTGGGTGTCTGTGAAGCTCCTCGAAGTATTTAGGGCTGAATTCTGCGCTCCCCCCAGTTTACAGATTCCCTTGGCTTCTATGGAGTCACTCCTGATTCTCACCAGTGCAAGAGGAGATTCATACCGGTAGCATAGAGCAGGGGTTCTCAAACTTTTCTTTCCGCGGATCACTTGAAAATTGCTGAGGGTCTCAGCCGACCACTTAATGATCTTTCCAAAAGTCATTTGTACCATTAGCTAACTATTGTAAAGCTAACCATCTTGCATACATATTATCTGCACACATCGCGCAGTCTTAAGATGCTAAACAGATCTGTGAGTCAACTAGAAATAGTCCTGCTCTCCTTGTAAATATTAATACTGTCCTTTCCAGTATCTGAAAAGATTGTAAGAGGCATTCACTCAGGCTTATACAATTTCTCTGCCATGTCCACTCTAAATTTGATTTATATTTTACACACATAGAAGAGTAACAATAAGTAATAAAGCGACACAAACGGCAAAACAAACCCACAAACAAACAAGTGACAACACTGAGAATACGAAGGGAAGCGAAACATCCAGTGGTTGGTTTTGGGGATTTTAAATGAGTGTTGAGGACCCACGTGGTGGAAGTGCAACAGAGCCCTGGAGAAACAGGCAAAGTTCAAGGTCTCCTGGTTTCACATTGTGCGCGTGTGTCACCAACTCAAAAACCATTTTTACAAGCCCTGGGGCACATAAACACATGGCTTGGAGTTTGCAGATAGATCCCTGCTTCAAAGAGCTTGCAAATAAGGTCTTTATCCTACAAAACACCTGGCAGGACCCCAACCAAATCGAGTGCTGATGGCTACTCAAGAGTCAGTGGAACTACTTTGAGGCTTAAAGCAGGGGTGGGCAAACTTTTTGGGCCGAGGGCCACATCTGGGTGGGGAAATTGTATGCATGGCTGGGGCAGGGGGTTGGGGTGCGGGAGGAAGTGTGGGGTGTGGGAGAGGATTAGGGATGCAGGAACAGACTCGGGGCAAGGGACTGGGGCAGAGGAGGTGTGTGGGGTGTATGAGGGTGCTCAGGGAAGGGGGTTGGGGTGCAGGAGGGATGTGGGTACAGAAGGGGGCTCATAGCAGGGGACTGAGGTGCAGGAGGGAGCTGCAGAATTGCAGGTTGCGGAATACAGGAGGAGGTTCAGGGCAGGGGTGCAGGAGGTGTGCGGACTGCGGGAGGCAACTCAGGGTAGGGAGTTGGGGTGCAGGAGGGGTGCAGCAGGGGGCTCATGGCAGGGGGTTAGGGTGCAGGGTGCAGGAGGGGTTTGGGAAGCGGCCGGAACCGCGTCGCTGAGTGGCCCCTTCTGGGGGGTTGGAGGGGAGGGTGCAGGCCTCCACATGCTGCCCTTGCCATGACCCCAGATACCTCACCTGAAGCTCCCATTGGCCACGGTTCCCCGTTCCCGACCAATGGGAGCTGTGGGGGGCGGTGCCTGGAGGCAAGAGCAACCCATGGAGCTCCTCCCCCCCCCCCCCCCCGCCTATCAGCTATTCCCCTGCAGCTGCTGAAGCTCCCAGCAGGCTCCCACCTCGCACTGCAGGCAGGTGTGAGGCCTTTTAATTTTCAGGGGAGAGGAAGCTGGGCCAGGGGGGACACGCAGCCTGGTCAAATCAGCTTCTGGGCTGGCTGCGGAGGGGTGGGGCAGATAGGGTGGGCTGCCTTTCGGCAGGGAACTGGGGGAGATGGGCATGCAGTTTCTGGGCTGGCCCCAGGGGGCTGCTGGGGGGAGTATGGGCCGGGGGGTTTCTCAAGGACCGAGCCAGCCATCCTCAGCCCACCCTGGTGTCTCCCCCAGGACCTGTGCTCCCCCTCCAGCCAGGAGAAACCAGCTGCAGACCCCTTTAGTGCTGGGCAGAGGGACAAACAAAAGGACGTGGCTCCTTTAAGAAAAGTTTGCCCTTGTGTCTGATGAGTGAACTTAGGCTGGGGCCAGCAGCTCGCCCCCTTCCCGGGCTCTGTCCAGCCAGTCGGGTGCGCCAGGTGTAGTGTAGTAAATTGCTCTGCATAGAAATGTGCTACTTACCGGGTACCGAGCCGTACATCTGCTGAAGCCGCTGCCCTTCACCCTGCCCTTCTTAGCCGTAAGATTCTGCGGACGGCTTTTGACAGGGGTTAAAAAGTTGCCAAGGGGGTGAATCGGAACAGGGGGGTGGCCAGGGTCTGAGCAGGGGGCGGAAATTGACTGGTCAGGGGGGTCAAGCAGCTGGAGGCAGCATGAGGAGAGGGGCTAAAGGGAAAATCAGGGATGGGGGGAAGGAGCCAGAGTTAAGCCCAGGAGCGAGGCGCTGGCAGAGGGTGTCAGAGGGCAAAACCCGGCCCAGGCAGGGGCACAGGGGGCAGCAGTTACCCCAGTGGGACTGAGACACAAGGGCTTGCAAAATAGTTTCTTGGGGAAGCGAGAGGCTTTTTTATTTCCCCTCTCCCAGGCAGAACCTCTCAGCATCGGCTTCCCCGGACTGGGTTTTCAAAGGCACAGGCATCCCCCCATGCCTAGTCAATACATCTCCTCTTTGTCTGATCTAACCTACTGAGGCTCTGTCTACACTGCAAATTTCAAAGGGCTGTCGCAGGTGCCAGTGCTCCTGGTAATCCACCTCGACGAGGGGATTAGGTCCGAGCACTGGGAGCCGAGCCTGTCCACACTCGCGCTTTAAAGCACTCAAACATGCTGCTCTCGGCAAGGGGGAGGGGGTGATTTTTCACGCCCCTGAGCCAGCAACTTAGAGCTCTTTAACTTGCCAGTGTAGATAATCCCTGAGACTGAATTCAGGGAAACATGGTACAGATATCCCCTCAGACACAAAGAATCCCTTATCACTGTGTCTGAATGCATCGAGTCTCATAGCAGTGTCCCAAGTTGTCTAATCTGCTGCTGGGATTCCCTGAATTTTTCATTCTAATTTTTTCTTCTCATTTTTAGAGCAGATGTTTATTCTGTTCAATCATCTGACTTCCACTCTGACTGAATTTCTGGCCTAGTGTGAAAACTTTGTTTTGAGTCAATCCACCAGTGCTGTAAATATTGGTGGTCAGACCAATAGTCCACCTAATCTAGTATCCTGCCTTGTGACAGTGGCCAATGCCAGGTGCTTCTAAGGGAATGCTCAGATCAGTCAAGCACTCATTGAACCATCCCATTGTCCACTCCCAGCATCTGGCAGTCAAAGGACAGTTTAGGGACATGCAGAGAATGGGCCTGCATCCCTGATTATCTTGGCTAATAGCCAATCGACTTATCCTGAGGGACTGATCGAACTCTGTTCAACCCATTCATAGCTTTTCCTTTCAAAATAGAATGAACACACATCTACAACCCCAACATACCTTTACAACCACAAGAATTCTAAAATCATGAGTTAGTCACCCTCGCGTCAAGAAATTTTAAGGAATAAATTATCTTTTTTTGTGCCTCTTTGTTCCTGAGCCTGTAGGGTGCAGTAAGGCAATTCCAATGCCTTGAGCCTGAACACCTGAATGAATCTTAGTCTACCCTCATACTGCCAAACATTTCATACACCTAAGGCCATATCTACAGTTTCAGTGTGGGTTAACTCAAGTTGTCACCATAGAGTCACTACGGTTACTATGTCACTTGTGTGCCGGCCTCCTGGACTCCCTGCCTCAGCAGTCAGGGTACTCACCAGAAGCACTTGTGTAGCTTCAGAGTGAGGTGCACCATGAATAGATATCCCACTGTCCACCCATTGTATTTTGGGAAGCTTTGGTTTGGCAGCGTATGCTGGGTACCAAACAGGTCAGACAGGGGTGGTTGTGGCCATGGGTTCAAACTTCTTATAATGCATTGTTAACCATCCACTAATTTTATATGTATCCCATACATAAACGTATACATAATGTTTACACCTTTTTTTCTAAACCCACTAACCTGCCTGGCCCTCCTCACTGTCTGCCATCTCACACAGAATCATGGAACTTGCATGGCTCTGCACTATCGTCATGAGCGTTTTCACCCAAAGGTGTGTGCTCCTTTAGTATTTGCAGATCAGCAAACATACACGTGGGGTATGACATTATACTCTACATTCTTTATGAAAATATGCTTATGATATGGATATAACAGAGCTAATATATACCTTATGCAAGATTGATGTGGGGTATTATCGCAAAACTTAAGACCTATTGACTGTGTTTAGCCAACCTGTATGCATGTAATGTTTGTATCTGAGGCTAGAAATATTGAGCATGTCTCTGTATTTAAAATGTGCTCTGTTGGATGAGGCCAGACAACGTTAGCAGCTTATTGAAGGAATGCACAAACACATAAAGATTATCCCAGGAACTGTGCCTCTGAACAATGGGGACTACTTGACCAAGATCAGATACCTCTATACAGTGGGTGCTGCTTGACCCAGGTCACAGCAAAAGAGCCTTCCAGAAAGTGGGGAAAAGAAAGAAAAGGTGGACAAGGAGAGCCTACAAGGAGAGCCGGAAACACCTCAGGTACAAAGACTGAACGGTGAGAAATGATTGACCCAGCAATCTGGATGATGGGAAGACAGACACCTCAGCTCAGCTCAGCATACTGAGAATGAGAAGGATCTGACATTATCAACCAATGAAGAATAATCCAGGTGTGTCTAATATATCTTGTATCCCCATTATGCAGACATAGGCCTTTTTCTCACTGCTAATAAAACTAAGGAAAACAACACAAGTCCTGAAAATATAGGAAATATAGGAATGTTGGCTTGGTTCTTTCTACTCCAAAAAATGTGTTCGGTATCAAGGGTTTGTCTCATGTGTATTTTGAGAATGGCGACTAAGCATCTTGTCATGCAGAGAAAGTGTCAATTCAGATTTTGTGGGTAATAAACGTGTAAATAAGGCTGCGATACTGGCCATAAAGCATGGTGGATTTGATTTCAATCAAATTCATTTAAATCACTAGTCATGAAGACTCGATGTAATCATGGTTTTCTAGATAAAAGTGCATTCCTGTTGGTTGTTGTAGCCTTCGTACATATTCTTCACAACTCGGAGTTCGATCCAGTGGTGTGCTATAATTTGTTCTGCTTGTGCAGATACTCTTTCTATTTCAGATCCCTGATGTAAACTAGCCAAACTGCCTGTCTGAACCTGGGCCTGGGTGATTTCAGGCAGTTGGCGAATTGGGTTATTTTTCTTCATGACAGGTTTCAGAGTAACAGCCGTGTTAGTCTGTATTCGCAAAAAGAAAAGGAGTACTTGTGGCACCTTAGAGACTAACCAATTTATTAGAGCATAAGCTTTCGTGAGCTACAGCTCACTTCATCAGATGCATATCGTGGAAACTGCAGCAGACTTTATATATACAGAGAGAATATGAACCAATACCTCCTCCCACCCCACTGTCCTGCTGGTAATAGCTTATCTAAAGTGATCATCAGGTGGGCCATTTCCAGCACAAATCCAGGTTTTCTCACCCTCCACCCCCACACACAAATTCACTCTCCTGCTGCTTCTGGCCAGAAAATCTCCCCCAAGCCAGAGGCCCTGGAGCGAGGGGGAGACTCACCGGCGCAGCGGCTCCAGGGAAGGAGCTCGCCAGGGCACAGAGCACCTCCCCCTGGCCAGGGTCCCTCCTGCCGCAGGCGCCGCGGGCCGAGACCGGGCTCCCCGCCGGCAGCGGCCGCCCCGGGGCGCGATCTCACAGAGCCCGGCCGGCTCGACACCTGCCCCCGGGGCACGTCCCGACGCGGGGCAGAAGCCGCCCCTCGGCCTGCGGCGCCCCCGGGAGCCCCAGCAACGGGCCGCGGGGGGGCGGGTCTGAGAGGCGCCGGGTGGGGGAGGGGCCAGAGGGAATCAGGCTGATCCCGGCACCTGCCCAAACCGAAGCTGAAGAAGGCGGAAGCGCCCCCGGGGCACGCTGGGAGATGTAGTTCCTTACTCTCTCACTAGCGGAAGTGACGCCATATCGGAGAGACCGAGCCGAGCTCGCGCGGAGCCGTTGGCGCCTCTTCTAAGGCGGAGAAGCGTTTTGTGTCGCTCGAGCTCTGGGCATGCGCAGAAGCAGGTGGGCGGAAGTCGCGCGTGCGCAGAGGCAGAGCTCAGCGGCTGCTGCGGGAGCGGGCTGAGCGGCAGGGTCTGTGCCGGGGCGACCTTCATTAACCCCCCCGCGCCCGGCCCGCGCCCTGCTCCCGCTGGGGCCGCCCCGGGCCCTGCCCGCCCCGCTGCCGAGCTGCCGCCTCCAGGTACCGGAGCGAGCCCCGGGGGCGGGGCGGTGACGCTGCCCCAGTGTCCGCGGGGACCCGGCCTCGGGCGGCGCCGGGACCTGCTCCCGGGGGGGCCGCGCCGGGGGGGCTCGGAGCTGCTGTCCCAGCGGGAGCCCAGCGCCCCCGGCGGGGTCTGGACGGGGCAGCGGGTGAAGGGGCGAGGCTGGGAGACCCCGACCCCGCGGGGCCGGGCTGGGGGGCCGCTCTCTGCCGGCAACAGGGCCCGGGCAGGCCCGGGAGGGGACGGGGGCAGCGAGCGGCCCCCCCGGCGGCGGCCCGGCCCCAGGCTGCGGCCAGGAGCTCGTTCCTCCGCGGGGCCGCGTCCTGCCGCACCTGGGAGACGCCTCGGGGCTGCCCAGCCCCAGGGGAGCCGCAGCCAGGCCCTGCCCCGCGCCGCCGGGACCGGGGGGGCTCCTGGGGGGGGTCCGGGGGGGGCCTTGAACGGTCCCTGTGCAGCCTCAGGAAACCCCCGGGGGAGAAGGGGGGGCGGGAGGTGAGTGAATTGGATCCTTTCCCTGCTGGTGCCGCTCACACCCTGATACAAATTCTCTCCAGTTCTTCCCCTTTTCTCAAATGTCAATTTAACATCTCCGGTGTGGGGGATTTTCCCACCCATTTTATCTGCAGCGATTTGTCCGTGTCTAGGTGAGAAATTGTTCCCTGAGTCGGTGCCCAAAACATGGCTGCCCCTGGAGTGGGGATGGGATGAGAGGCCTCTTCTCCGCCAGGGTGGGGGAAGCGAGGAGCAAGTGTCCCCCGTGGAGACTGCCCAGACCCCGGTTTCCTAATCCCACTTGCTGGCCCCAAACTGCCAACACAGTTGCCCCCAGCTGTCCCTTGACCCTCACCTGCCCATCCCCCACTGCTGCCCCCTTCCCTCACCCAGGAAGCCTTCCCGCTCCTCCTCCTCCTTCTTTGCCCTCTTAAATCGCCTCCTCAAAGGTCTCCCTGCTGCCCCTGTGAATGAAGGCAGACGGGGAAGCATCATTTTCTGTTTATGTATTACACAGTCATATAAAATCCAGTCAAACAGTCCCCCTTTTCCAACTAGTTATTTCATAGCAATATAAAATTCCCTCTGATCTTGGTGTTTTTTTCTCATGTTATCAGTTACTTACTTTGTGACACGTATTCTCTGCAGATCTCAAAGATTGTTATGAAATACCCTAAACATTTGCCCCACTTTTTATTTAGTTGTCTATTTCTAATTGAATATACCCTGAGATTTTCTTAGTATTTTATAATTAAGAGAGATAGGGAAAATCTCAGATTTACACCTTTTCTCAGATTGTTGAACATGAAAATAGAAGAAAAGGAGTACTTGTGGCACCTTAGAGACTAACCAATTTATTTGAGCATGAGCTTTCGTGAGCTACAGCTCACTTCATCGGATGCATACTGTGGAAACTGCAGAGGACATTATATACACAGAGACCATGAAACAATACCTCCTCCCACCCCACTCTCCTGCTGGTAATAGCTTATCTAAAGTGATCATCAAGTTGGGCCATTTCCAGCACAAATCCACCTTGATTATCATACACATTTTAAAGAGAGTGGTCACTTTGGATGGGCTATTACCAGCAGGAGAGTGAGTTTGTGTGGGGGGAGGGCGGAGGGTGAGAAAACCTGGATTTGTGCTGGAAGTGGCCCAACTTGATGATCACTTTAGATAACTTTGTTACGGGGTGGGGGGAGGGAGAAGGGAGGTTTAAAATGTCTCTGTGGGCTTAGCCTGGCAGGAGGGGCCAGGTCTACACTGAAATAAAGAGATCAAGCATTTTTCCAGCATGGCAGAATCTAGGATATCTGTCTGCAGGGAAAGACCCCTGGGGGAATTCTGATGTGAAATTAACTAAAGCCTGTTCTGAAACCCCCACAATTACGCTTCTCACCCTCCCAGGCTGCAGAACGACGTCCATCCTCCAGCTCAGCTCCTCCCATCCTCCCATGGGATGGGGAAGAGAAATGGCTGCAGTGGAGCCAGCTCAGGTAGGGATTATTGGGGAGTTTTGGGTGGGTTCCTTCTGGAGGGAGGGGGACAGCAAATACACCAGAGACAGGAAGGTTTGCACAGTCTCGTTTGGAGGTTGGACTGGGGCAGTAAATTCACAAGGTGGAGAAAGGGAGGAGGACACGGGGTGGCAAACCTGCTGGGAGTTATTGAATAAGTGGCCTAGATTCTGGGATCAGACCCATGAGGTTGGGAGGTGGAAATGCTCTAATTTGTTGAACAGAAAATAACCCACCTACATGGGGCTAGGAAACCTAACCAGACTCATAGTGCGGGAGCCTGACCCGACTAAGCAGCGGGTGCCATGAGATATGAAGGGGGCACCCACCAGTCAGGCTTAGGGGAGATTCCCCTCCCTTCATATCCAGCTCCTCACATTGAAGAGCATGTTGGACTTCCTACCAGGGAGCTGTCCCTGGACCCTGTTAGGGGCTCCATCTCCTGTATCAGTCTGTGGCTAGTAGGTGTGTGATGGATCTGGTGGGAGAGAGGTGGGGCTCTCTCTTCGTCCCCTAACCCTGGTGGTTCCAGGAGACTCTGACCGTGATCCACCCAGAGCTTCCATTTGATTGGCTCCTCTCCCACACAAATAGTCGGGCAGCAGGTACTGAGTGTTGGACTTTTGCTGTCTCAGGGGCCGGTGACCTTCACGGAGGTGGCTGTGTATTTCACCAAAGAAGAGTGGGCTCTGCTGCATCCTGCTCAGAGAGCTCTCTACAGAGATGTCATGCAGGAGAACTATAAGAATGTGACCTCGCTGGGTAAGGATTCCCGTCCCCTCAGTTCTTGTAAGGGGAAATGAAGAGATACGGTTCACGCCACCCCCCAATGGCATCTCTGCTCTGTCCTGTTTCAGCATCACCGCAATATGCCAGTAACACACACACACAAACACACACGACCAGAGACCTTCAGATGTCAGATATCTCTTTCTGCTCAAGTAAAACTGGGGCTTAGGTCCAGCATAACCAACAGAAGCTTCCTACCCCCGGCCTTCTCGGAAACCCTGAGCCTACTCCACCCGAAACAGAATGTGCTTGGGTGTAACAAACAGGCTGCTGGAATCAGAGCTGCTGGTCCAGGGCTACTTATCACACAAACACCCAGTGCATCCTTGTATGCTGGCTGGGGGTATCCAGACAGGGGAGCTCCAACAGCAGAACATTGAATCTCACCCAGGATTACAGATGACACAAGTCCTCACTGGTCTGGATTGCAATGCAGCGTGTGTAAATGGCTTATGTTGGTAGTGAAACTTGCTGAGTCATGGAGAGTCTTCCTTCTCCATCCGCATGTGTGATAGCCACCACCTCTCTTCTCTGCAGGCTCCTTGGATTTTTGATTACCTCATTGTCACATGACCCCGATTCTTATCTTTCACATTCTGCTTTTCTAGACTAATTAGAATCGTTGCTCCTGAATTATAGCTTCTAATTTCCCAGTGTTCTCCACACCCAGGGATTTTCCTTCTCCCTCCCGTTACACTGGGCTCACTAGATTCCCTAGTAGATAAGAGCGGCCACGCTGGGTCAGACCAGAGGTCCATATAGCCCAGTGTCCTGTCTTTCGAGAGTGGCCATGATTTTATAGACCTCTCTCATACCCCCTTTCGTCTCTTTTCTAAGCTGAAAAGGCCCAGTCTTTTTCATCTCTCCTCATACGGAAGCTCTTCCATACCCCTAATCATATTTTTTTCCCTTTTCTGAACCTCTTCCAATTCCAGTCTATCTTTTTTGAGATGTGGCAACCACATTTGCATGCGGTATTCAAGATGTGGGCGTATCATGGATTTATTTATTTTTATGGGCTTACCATGGATTTATAGAGAAACAATATGTTATTTTCTGTCTTGTTATCTATCCCTTTCTGTTTGCTTTTTGACTGCCTCTGCACCTTGAGTGAACGTTTTCAGAGAACTCTCCACAAGGACTCCAAGATCCCACTCTTGAGTGGAAACAGCTAATTTAGACCCTATCATTTTATATGTATAGATGGGATTATGTTTTCCAATGGGCTGCAATACGTGCTATCCTCACATCTAGTACTGCTGAGCTCCTGCATTCAGTAATATCCCTATCCTTCCTGTTTCCTTTCTCCACTGAACCCCACCAGGCCATGCTTACTGTTCCTGGCTTCTCCAGGACTGACTCATTGTCTCTGGACTTCTCTGTCGGCAAGAAGCAATGGCAGGGAGACTTGCCCTCTGTCTGGAGTCTTCGATTTCTGGGAGAAGGATTTACTTTCTCTGTGTTTTTATGAGACCCTTTGAAATTCAGCGTCTGCGACATTAACCACAGTACAATCTGGACTGTTGAATAGCTGTTTCTCCTCAGTTCCCCAACCTGCGGTGCCTTTTACACTGCTTTACTGTGAGAACAGCCACTCCTAGGCGGTTAACACACAGTCTCCAGCATGTAACTCGCTCCCAGCTTCACAGTATTGACTGCTGCTAGGCAGCGACGCTCCCGTTACAGTACACCACAGGAGAACCTCAGAAACTTCTCTGCTACCAGACTTTCCCCCAGAAATGTGCATCTTGCATTGTACAGCACACTGCTGAACAATGCAAACTCATACGAAGTCTGTCATTTCATCAGTGGAAAATGACATGCACCAGGCTCGTTATTCCAGATGGAGTTTCCAACTCACTTTAATCCAAACACACTGGTTAAATAAAACAATAAAACCAAATTGTTAACTATGGAAAAAAAGGATTTTAAGTGACTACAGGTAATGATTTTGGAATACTGAAAGTCGTCTTGTTTTTTGTTTTTTTTAGTTGTACAGGAAGTGATGGCTAATCTTGAAAAGTTAATTTGATTTAATTTACCCCCCGTAGTGTAAGAAGTTCTGGTAGAAAACCTTGCTCCAAAGGTTGGGGTGGGAGAATGTGTGTGAGAGAGAATGTATAAGAGAATATTGGCCTAGTATAGATTTTAATTTTTTGTATTTCAAATAGAACTTATTTTGCTTAGCCTCAAAATCAATTTCTATTAAAAGGAAAACTACTTGAGACAAGTTGTGTAACTTTTTGCCCACTTACACTGTAAGGGTCACTGACTTCCCCACTTCTCTAATGTGCAAGAGAGAGGCATCACATCTGTCATAGGACGTCTCCAGCAGGTAGGAAAACCGCCATCGTCAACCATCAATACGAAGGAAAAGGCTGAACTCCATTGCCTTTCATATCAAAAAGCCATCTAAAGCTGGTCTACGCTGAAAAGCTGTGTTGCCATAGCCCCATCTCTCAGGGGTGTGAAAAATCCACTCCACTGAGAGAAGTAGTTAATGTGACCTGAGACCCAGTGTAGACAGTGTTAGGTTGTCAGAAGAATACTTCCAGTGTTTAAAGTATAGAGATAGCGTTAGACAGATTGATCCCCTATGGGAAGCAAGTCAGGACATCAATTCCAATTTTGACCCATCTCCCTGTATGTGAGAAAGCTGCTTGTATGGAGGACTGAGCCAGCTGTCTGATCGCCTGGTCCCTCAACTGTAGCGACAGCTCCTAGTACCCATCAATCCAAAGACTGAGAGAAATGGAGAGTTCCAACCATTGTCATTTTAGTATCTTATTGTTCCTTTCTTTATTTTTTGTGCTGGCCTTTCTGTTCTATCAGAGTGGGACGGTATAGCTCAGTGCATGCGTGACAAAAGCTCATTGGTGCCAATTGGCAAAGGAGTCACTGTTATTTACAAGCAACTCCCGTCTCAGACCTGACAAACTCACCACACCGAATACACTGATTTTATGATATTTATCCAGGAAACATAGCAGTGAGATCTCTATTGAAAACTTGTTAATCATTGATTTCAGCGTAACAGCCATGTTAGTCTGTATTCGCAAAAAAGAAAAGGAGTACTTGTGGCACCTTAGAGACTAACCAATTTATTTGAGCATAAGCTTTCATGAGCTACAGCTCACTTCATCAGCTGCATCCGATGAAGTGAGCTGTAGCTCATGAAAGCTTTGCTCAAATAAATTGGTTAGTCTCTAAGGTGCCACAAGTACTCCTTTTCTTTTTGTAAATCATTGTTACTCCTAATCACTGCGAGAGGTGTGTATAAGTCAGAATTTAATGAGTAATGTAAGTTCATGGACAATTATGCCGATATGGTATTTTCATGAAAGTGAATCACCCCAATCATCGGTCTTGGTGGGGATGGCCCTTTCCAGTGGGAGGGAATTGTCACCCACCCCATGCTAACCAGTTATGTGATGTATTGCTACATTGTCAACTATTGCATCAACCCAGAATAGCTAATGGAAAACTATCAAAGATGAACTATAGACATCAAAACCTTGTGGAAGTGAAAAGGACAATATGAAAATGGGGAGATAGTCCTTTCTGTGATTAAAGACAAAAGACAGATTCCATTTATGACAGGGTGGAGAAAAACATTCTGGGTCCATTCACTAAGGAGATCCCTAACGACCAGTGGTGCTTCATGAAAGGCAGGGCCCTGGCTCCTAGGGACTAGCAGTCACTGCAGTAGACTGAAGTGTGAGGTGAGAATCTACTTAGATAGGAAAGGTAACTATTAAAAAGTGTAAGTTGCATTTGGTGATTTTGTTGTGTTTGTAACTGTTTTTCCATCACTCACATTTGTTTTGTTTAAATCTCTCTCCCTTGTTAAATACATTTCCATTTGCTCGATAACTTTACTCAAGTGCTGTGTGTGATACAGGATCAGTGGTCAACAGTAAAACTGATAACCTGGGGTATATCATTGCTTCTGGAGGAGAGATTCAGAGAAATCCCAGATCATCTGGTGATCGGGGCTGGACCCAGAGGGGGACATATTGAAGGAACGCAGATTAGGGTGCCTCTATTGTCAACTGGCAGGGCTGCTGTAGCTCCGAGGAGGGTGCTTGAGTGGCTGATAGGCTGGGTGAGTTCAGTCATGAACATCCAAGCTGCCAAATGCAAAAGTCCCTCTTCCTAGTGGCAGGTGGCAACAAGGAGACTCACAGCCCTCAGCTCCCTGAGAAGGTGTCACGGAGTCCCTGCGCGATGCTCTGGAACTGCTCCCCATGAAGCCAGTCAGGACTCTGGGGCAGTCGCCTTTCTGTGAGCAGCCTGTCTTCAGGACACACAGCTCACACAGCTTCCACCTTCCTGGGTCTGACCTCGGAACATTCAGCATCCTCTGCCCCTCTGTGCGCTTCCCCCAGTGAGTCCGCCCAGGTGGGGCTCCTGGGGAAGCCAGAGGGTCCTGCACCCCAACTTCGCAGTCAGATGTGACTCTCAGCCAGCCAGTAAAACAGAAGGTTTATTAGACAACAGGAACATGGTATAAAAAAGAGCTTGCAGGTGCAGAGAACAGGACTCTTCAGCTGGGTCCATTTTGGGGGGCAGGGAGCCAGACAACCACGTCTGCACTTCACTCCAAGTCCCAGCCAGCCCCAAAAACTGAAACTCCTTCCAGCCCCTCCTCCTCTGGGCTTTGTTCCTTTCGCGGGCCAGGAGGTCACCTGATTCCTTTGTTCTCCAACCCTTTAGCTTTCACCTAGCAGGGGGGGAAGGGCCTATGCCATCAGTTGCCAGGAAACAGGGTGTCGGCTATTCTCTGTGTCCAGACCCCTGCACACACCTGCCCTCTAGGGCTCTGCAGTGATCATACACCCTTATCCCACCACCTAGATACTTAAGAACTGCACAGGGGAAACTGAGGCACCCCCACACAATTCAGAGGAAACATTAAGAACAGTCCCACTTCGTCACAGAAGGGTCACAATGTGCATCTGTGTTGCTCCACCTGTCAAATTCAAACAGGGAAAACACACTATAGCATAGTTCCCTGACTCAAAATAGCCCTAAAACTCTTCTATGAAATCATGGAACATGTGCTCTTCACTCTGTGAAAGCATGTAAAGACTCCAAGCCCTGGAGGGTAAGTGACCTAGAGAAATTGGAATATTGGGCCGAAAGAAATCTAATGAGGTTAAACATGCACAAGTGCAGAGTTCTGCACTTACGATGGAAAAATCCTATGCACCGCTTTTCCGGCCCCTGCTTCTCTTCATTTACATATAATTTGAAAAGTTCCCAATATAACTGCTCTTCAGCAAAACCCATAGCAACATGAGAACAACTGGCAATGATACAATCTGTATCATTGGTGACTAACAATAACTTTGCAATAGGAGGAATGGTATAAATGGTTCCTCATGGGACAATAAAAAGGACAAATAGGTCCATCTCAAGAGGGCGAACTGCAAAAGGAAAAAATGGGGCACTCATCTGGATAAGCTGAGGGATAACGGTGTAGCAAACAGTTCAAACAGCATTCCAAGTTACTACATAGGAATCAGGAAAAGTATTAAAGAAAAAAAGTATTGACAGCCCTAGAGGTTTTTATGGTGTTGATCTCCCTTGCAGATTGTCTGATGGCTAACATGGGCTGAGTGCCAAGAGAAGGTATTCCCACACTCACTGCATTCGTAGGGCCTCTCCTTTGTGTGGATTTTCTGATGACTAGAAAGGGCTGAGCTGCTAGAGAATCCCCTGTGTGGATTCTCTGATGATTAGAAAGTTCTGATCTTTGAGTCAAGCTTTTCCCACACTCACGGCATTGCTAGGGCCTGTCAAGGTTCCTTCCCCACTCTGAACTCTAGGGTACAGATGTGGGGACCTGCATGAAAACCCCCAAAGCTTATTTTTACCAGCTTAGGTTAAAACTTCCCCAAGGTACAAACTAGTTTACCTTTTGCCCTTGGACTTTATTGCTGCCACCACCAAGCGTCTAACAAATATATAACAGGGAAAGAGCCCGCTTGGAAACGTCTTTCCCCCAAAAATGCTCCCCAAACCCTACACCCCCTTTCCTGGGGAAGGCTTGATAAAAATCCTCACCAATTTGCATAGGTGAACACAGACCCAAACCCTTGGATCTTAAGAACAATGAAAAAGCAAGCAGGTTCTTAAAAGAAGAATTTTAATTGAAGGAAAAAAGTAAAAGAATCACCTCTGTAAAATCAGGATGGTAAATACCTTACAGGGTAATCAGATTCAAAACACAGAGAATCCCTCTAGGCAAAACCTTAAGTTACAAAAAGACACAAAAACAGGCATCTACATTCCATTCAGCACAGCTTATTTTACCAACCATTTCAATAAAACAGAAGCTAACGCATATCTAGCTAGATTACTTACTAAGTTCAAAGACTCCATTCCTTTCTGGTCCCGGCAAAAGCATCACACAGACAGAGAGAACCTTTGTTTCTCCCCCCACTCCAGCTTTGAAAGTATCTTGTCTCCTTATTGGTCATTTTGGTCAGGTGCCAGCGAGGTTATCCTAGCTTCTTAACCCTTTACAGGTGAAAGGGTTTTTCCTCTGGCCAGGAGGGATTTTAAAGATGTTTACCCTTCCCCTTATATTTATGACAGATACAATCTGTATCATTGGTGACTAACAATAACTTTGCAATAAGAGGAATGGTATAAATGGGATACTCCCTGGTTCCTGATAGGAAGCGCACACTCGAATTACTCATGGGACAAGAGAAAGGACAAATAGGTCCACCTCAAGAGGGCGAACTGCAAAGGCAAAAATGGGGCACTCATCTGGACAAGCTGAGGGATAACGTGCTGCAAACAGTTCAAACAGCTTTAAAAGCTACTATGTGGGAATCAGAAAAATAATGATAGCCCTAGAGGTTTTTATGGTGTTGATCTCCGTTGCAGATTCTCTGATGGCTAACATAGGCTGAGTGCCAAGAGAAGGTTTTCCCACACTCACTGCATTTGTAGGGCCTCTCCTTTGTGTGGATTTTCTGATGTTTAGAAAGGCCTGAGCTGCTCGTGAAGCTTTTGGCACACTCACTGCATTCGTAGGGCCTCTCTCCTGTGTGGATTCTCTGATGCTGAAAAAGTCCTGATCTTTGAATGAAGGTTTTCCCACACTCACTGCATTCGTAGGGCCTCTCCCCTGTGTGGATTCTCTGATGGTAAAAAAGGCCTGATGTTTGAACGAAGCTTTTCCCACACTCACTGCATTCATAGGGCCTCTCCCCTGTGTGGATTCTCTGATGCTGAAGAAGGCCTGATCTTTGACTAAAGCTTTTCCCACACTCACTGCATTCGTAGGGCCTCTCCCCTGTGTGCATTCTCTGATGTTTAGAAAGGGCTGAGCTGCTCGTGAGGCTTTTCCCACATAAACTGCATTCGTAGGGACTCTCCCCTCTGTGGATTCTCTGATGCTGAAAAAGGCTTGATCTTTGAACGAAGCTTTTCCCACACTCACTGCATTCATAGGGCCTCTCCCCTGTGTGGATTCTCTGATGCTGAAGAAGGCCTGATCTTTGACTAAAGCTTTTCCCACACTCACTGCATTCATAGGGCCTCTCCCCTGTGTGGATTCTATGATGGTAAAAAAGGCCTGATATTTGAATGCAGGTTTTTCCACATTCACTGCATTCATAGGGCCTCTCCCCTGTGTGGATTCTCTGATGCTGAAAAAGGGCTGATCTTTGAGTGAAGCTTTTCCCACACTCACTGCATTCGTAGGGCCTCTCCCCTGTGTGGATTCTCTGATGCTGAAAAAGGGCTGATCTTTGAGTGAAGCTTTTCCCACACTCACTGCATTCGTAGGGCCTCTCCCCTGTGTGGATTCTCTGATGAGTAGAAAGGGCTGAGCTCCTAGTGAAGCTTTTCCCACACTCACGGCATTCATAGGGCCTCTCCCCTGTGTGGATTCTCTGATGTACAGAACGGTCTGAGCTCCTGATGAAGCTTTTCCCACACTCACTGCATTCGTAGGGCCTCTCCCCGGTGTGGATTCTCTGATGCTGAAAAAGGGATGATCTTTGAGTGAAGCTTTTCCCACACTCACTGCATGTATTTTTCCTCTTTCTCCTGAGGATTTCCTGCTGGGTTGTGGTTTCCTTGAGGCCCTGCTGAGTTCCCCGACAGGAAATAAATTTACCCATTTTCTCCAATGGCTGGTTTCCCTGCTCTCTTTCTGGTCTGTGATGAATAGCAAAGGGTTTTCCCTGCTCATGACTCCTGGACACATTCCTTTTCCATCTTTGCGATAATTCTCTGTGTTTATCCACTTGTTCAACATTTTCCTGATGAGAATTCTGCTCCTCTTTCTCACAAAGCATTGCATCACCTGCTGTGATAGAGATAGAAACCTCAAACAGGGATGGAAAGGGGAAGACCAAACGAAAACAAGTGGTGGAGAGGGGTCAAATAAAAATCAGGTACTCAACTCCCCCAAACTCTTCCACCAAATAGGAGAGAGGAGGGGGATCAATTCAGCCTTCACATCCCATCCAAATTCACAGGGGGAAGGGAGGAAACTTCTGCCTGGTGTCTGCTAGGATCTATAGGAAGCCATGAGCTATATTTACCCTGAGGATACGACCCCTGCTAGAGACAATAATGAACTGAGAGACCTCCCAAGACTTTGTAGGGCATCCCAGATGGTTTCCTTCAGGCACTTATAGATTCTGAGTTGGTTTAATGTTTCCTCACCTGTGCAGGGAGCTCTCAGGATCTCTCTTTCCTCTGGGACCCATGGCTCTTCCCCTTGTTCCAGCTGGGAGATCACATCAGGTTTGGAAACTGGAAACCCTGCTCAGATGAAAAAAAACAAAGGACTTCAGTTGATGTCACAAGACTTTGTCATAAAAAAAAAAATATTCTATTAAAAAACATTCTATTAAAAAACATTCTATTAACTTCAGTGCTTAGTGTGAGCTGGTGTGCCTGGGGCAGTCCCTCACTGAAAAGGCCAAGGTCAGGGCAGGCTGAAAAAGGGATAGCATATGCTCCCCAAACTGGTGGTTAACAGTGAAGTTAAACTCACCGACCAGTCACAAACTGCTTCTCATCACCCACACTGGTTACCGAGAAGCTGAAAAAAGAAATCACACAGCCCTCTTTATTGCATTCCAGTTCTCTGACTCCCAGTCAGCACCTAGGTCCACTGCAGTGAGAGGTTATTTAAAAACTCTGCTCACAAACAAAATGTCCTTCTGATCCCAAAGGGTCAGCACCAGTACCAGGTCACGATAGGTTTGGATCTTACCCAAAATACCATGCTGCCAGCCAATCCTTTAGCATCTAAACTAAAGATTTAAACAAAAGAAAGACAGAAAGAAGTGAAATGGGAAAGCAGTCAGGTTCATTCTGAAATCTATATATCAGGTTCTTAGCAGTACTGGTGAGTTAGTGGCTTGAAAGTCCATCTGGAACACATCCACAGCTTGGATGGGTCATTCAGTCCTTTGTTCAAGGCTTCAGTTTGTAGAGAAGTTGCTCCAGAGGTAGGAAGAGGGATTGAAGACAAAAGGGAGATGATGCAGCTACCCTTTATATGCCTTTTGCCATGTGGCTTATACTTCCTGTGCCCCAAACACAAGTTTCACAGCACATGGCATGGAAAAGCCTTGGAGTTCTCAGTACACAGGCGCACCCCTGCATGTCTTGCTGACTCAATAGGTGTATCCCCTTGGTCCTTTCCATGGGCTCATTGTACAGCTGATGACCCTGGATGGGCCATCGAACAGGCTAGGCAGTGCTGACGCCAATATGTCTGGGGGTGTCACCCAGAAACACTACACAAGTCTGGAAATACAAATATACCCTACATCTCTATATCTCACAATACAAAGGTGATACAAACAGAAACAAAATCATCATACCTGGAAAATCATATTTTCACTGACAGCTTACATGGCACATCTAGCAGGATTCATTGCAATTTTATCATATTGGTATTAATAATAAAATAATAATAATAATAAAGAGTCTCACAATTCCACATAGTGTCACACTGAGTAAACCAGTGAATTCCCAGGACCAGCTCCCCAGGTCCTTTAAGATGCCAAATACCCACATATCGGCTGGGAACACATCCAGACAGACATTGTGTCAGTCTGTACCCCTATGTTCACTCTTCTGGAAAATTATGATCAATTTGGGACATAGTATGGCTTGTGAGATATCATTTGAAATCACATAATCTACTGATATTATCCTCCTGTTAAAATGTGGAGCAACACTGTAAGTAAAGTTATGAGATTTTACTGTATGATATTACTGAAAAGTTATAATTTTGGGGAACACCCACAGACCAGTTCCCTCAGAGGCAGCAAGGCAAACAGCTGGTCAAATAGCCATTCTCCGGAAGTGGGAAGGTGTGAAGAAGACATTTACATTCCTTCAAAGGGACCACTTGAAGCTCATATTGACAACAGACAGCCTGTCACCATCACTCAGCTGAGAACTGAAGTTGTTTCTAGTACAAAGGACTGAACTCTAAAAAGAGGTGAGAAAAATGCTTGAGACTCTCTCTCTCTCCCCCTTTCCCTCTGTTCATGACAACTCCTGAAGAAGTGAACTTGGGCGGCAGGGGCGGGTTAGGGGAGTCCTGGCTGAAAGGACAGCCACCAGCCTGTCTCAACATATGGTGAGAGAAACATTTGCTTTGAATCCGTTTTAGCTTGTTAAGTTAGATGTTAGTTTGTGTTTTATCTTGCATTTCTTTTGTAAACAATTCTGACTTTTAGGCCTCATTACCTGTAGTCACTTAAAATCTTTTTTTTTTCAGTAGTTAACAATTTGGTTTTATTGTTTTATCTAACCAGTGTGTTTGGATTAAAGTGTGTTGGAAACTCCATCTGGAATAACGAGGCTGGTGCATGTCATTTTCCACTGATGAAATGACAGACTTCGTATGAGTTTGCATTGTTCAGCAGTGTGCTGGACAATGCAAGATGCACATTTCTGGGGGAAAGTCTGGGAGCAGAGAATTTTCTGAGGTTCTCCCGTGGTGTACTGTAATTTGAGCGTCGCTGACTAGCAGCAGTCAATACTGTGAAGCTGGGAGCGAGTTACATGCTGGAGACTGCGTGTTAACTGCCCAGGAGTGGCTGTTCTCACAGTAAAGCAGTGTAAAAGGCACCGCAGGTTGGGGAACTGAGGGGAAACAGCTGTTCAACAGGCCAGATTGTACTGTGGTTAACGTCACAGACACAGACACTCAATAGAGTCTCCAAAAACAGACACAGACACTCAATATCAAAGAGTCTCCGAAAACAGAGAAAGTAAATCCATGTTCCAGAAATAGAAGACTCCAGACAGAGGGCAAGTCTCCCTGGCATTGCTTCTTGCTGACAGAAAAGTCCAGAGACAATGAGTCAGTCCTGGGGAAGCCGGGAACAGTAAACATGGGCTGGTGGGGTTCAGTGGAGAAAGGGAACAGGAAGGGTAGGGATATTACTGAATGCAGGAGCTCAGCAGTACTAGATGTCAGGATAGCACGTATTGCAGCCCATTGGAAAACATAATCCCAACTATACATAGAAAATGATAGGGTCTAAATTAGCTGTTTCCACTCAAGAGTGGGATCTTGGAGTCCTTGTGGAGCATTCTCTGAAAACGTTCACTCAAGGTGCAGAGGCAGTCAAAAAGCAAACAGAATGTTGGGAATCATTAAGAAAGGGATGGATAAGAAGACAGAAAATATCATATTGCTTCTCTATAAATCCATGGTACGCCCACATCTTGAATATTGCATGCAAATGTGGTTGCCACATCTCAAAAAAGATAGACTGGAATTGGAAGAGGTTCAGAAAAGGGAAAAAATATGATTAGGAGTATGGAAGAACTTCCGTATGAGGAGAGATGAAAAAGACTGGGCCTTTTCAGCTTAGAAAAGAGACGAAAGGGGGATATGAGAGAGGTCTATAAAATCATGGCCACTCTCGAAAGACTGGACACTGGGCTACATGGACCTTTGGTCTGACCCAGTGTGGCCGCTCTTATGTACTAGGGAATCTAGTGAGCCCAGTGTAACGGGAGGGAGTAGGAAAATCCCTGGGTGTGGAGAACACTGGGAAATTAGAAGCTATAATTCAGGAGCAACAGATGCTAATTAGTGTAGAAAAGCAGAATGTGAAAAATAAGAATCGGGGTCATGTGACAATGAGGTAATCAAAAATCCAAGGAGCCTGCAGAGAAGAGAGGTGGTGGCTATCACACGTGCGGATGGAGAAGCAAGACTCTCCATTTCTCAGGAAGTTTCACTACCACCATAAGCCATTTTCACACGCTGCAGTGCAATCCAGACCAGTGAGGACTTGTGTCATCTGTAATCCTGGGTGAGATTCAATGTTCTGCTGTTGGAGCTCCCCTGTCTGGATACCCCCAGCCAGCATTCAAGGACGCATTGGGTGTCTGTGTGATAAGTAGCCCTGGACCAGCAGCTCTGACTCCAGCAGCCTGCTTGTTACACCCCAAGCACATTCTGGTTCGGGTGGAGGTGGCTCAGGGTTTCCGAGAAGGCCGGGGGTAGGAAGCTTCTGTTGGTTATGCTGGACCTAAGCCCCAGTTTTACTTGAGCAAAAAGAGATATCTGACACTGTGCGTTAGTCCTCCTGTGCTCTGTTCCCAAAGTGTTCTTCAGCAGGGGAAGAGGTCTCTGGTCGTGTGTGTGTGTGTTACTGGCATATTGGGGTGATGCTGAAACAGGACAGAGCAGAGATGCCATTGGGGGGTGGCGTGAACCGTATCTCTTCATTTCCCCTTCCAAGAACTGAGGGGACAGGAATCCTTACCCAGCGAGGTCACATTCTTATAGTTCTCCTGCATGACATCTCTGTAGAGAGCTCTCTGAGCAGGGTGCAGCAGAGCCCACTCTTCCCTGGTGAAATACACAGCCACCTCCGCGAAGGTCACCAGCCCCTGAGACAGCAAAAGTCCAACACTCAGTACCTGCTGCCCCACTATCTGTGTGGGAGAGGAGCCAATCAAATGGAAGCTCTGGGTGGATCACGGTCAGAGTCCCACCCCCACCTCGCTCAGAGCATCCTGGAACCACCAGGGTGAGGGAAAGAAGAGAGAGTCCCTCCTCTCTCCCACCAGATCCATCACACACCTACTAGCCACAGACTGATACAGGAAATGGAGTCGCTAGCAGGGTCCAGGGACAGCTCCCTGGTAGGAAGTCCAACACGCTCCTCAGTGCGAGTAGCTGGATATGAAGGGAGGGGAATCTCCCCTAAGCCTGACTGGTGGGTGCCACCTTCATATCTCATGGCACCCGCTGGTTAGTCGGGTCAGGCTCCCGCACTATGAGTCTGGTTAGGTTTCCTAGTCCCATGTAGGTGGGTTATTTTCTGTTCAACAAATTAGAGCATTTCCACCTCCCAACCTCATGGGTCTGTTCCCAGAATCTAGGCCACTTATTCAATAACTCCCAGCAGGTTTGCCACCCCCTGTCCTCCTCCCTTTCTCCACCTTGTGGATTTCCTGCCCCGGACCAACCTCCAAACCAGACTGCGCAAACCTTCCCGTCTCTGGTGTATTTGCTGTCCCCCTCCCTCCAGAAGGAACCCACCCAAAACTCCCCAATAATCCCTACCTGAGCTGGCTCCACTGCAGCCATTTCTCTTCCCTGTCCCATGGGAGGATGGGAGGAGCTGAGGTGGAACATGGACGTCGTTCTGCAGCCTGGGAGGGTGAGAAGCGTAATTGTGGGGGTTTCAGAACAGGCTTTAGTTAATTTCACATCAGAATTCCCCCAGGGCCCTTTCCCTGCAGACAGATAGCCTAGATTCTGCCATGCTGGAAAAATGCTTGATCTCTTTATTACAGTGTAGACCTGGCCCCTCCTGCCAGGCTAAGCCCACAGAGACATTTTTAACCTCCCTTCTCCCTCCCCCCACCCCGTAACAAAGTCTCTGAACACAATGCTAGAAAAGAGCAGAACCAAAGGAGTCACTCTGGGGGATTCCCTCGGACATGGACCCCACGGCAGCCACAACCGAGCAGGGGGAATATGGAGTCAGGAACTGGCTTTTCCTCTGTCTGATCCTTTTCTTGTTCACTGGAAAGTGATTCTGCCCAGGGATGCTGCAACACATGTGTCTGGGTGGACTAGAGCTGGAAATCTCTCTTCCCACTCATTTCTACCACTGCCCCTTTCAGTCTCTCCTTCCCCTGTCCTCTCTCCCTGCCTCTCTGGCTGGGAAAGTCCCATTCCTGGGTTCTTTGCAATCCCACCGCTGGATTTTCTCCTGGCAATTGCTAATGGGAGGAGAAATGAGGAGGGGCTGTTTGTGCAGAGTCACTTTCTTGCCAGTCCCCAGCACTTTCCCTGAGATCTTTCAGTTACCTGAAGTTTGTGGCTCAGAATTTGTATTAACAGAGCCCAGGTCTGCCCCAAGGGGCTAGTACCAGCTGGAGAAAGTCAGCACCTGGGCCGGGCAGAGAAGAAGCTTTAATTAAGGTCACTTCCCAGCACAGAAGCCCCGCTAGGGTAGCAGCAGCTGCTAAACCTGGTCTCCCGGATCACAATGGAGGCTGCAGCGTCTGACCCAGGAAGCTGAACCCCAATATCCTTAGGAGAGAGGGACAGAGCCTTTGAGCAGCCTTCCCTCCTTTAGCTCTCTGGGGAGAGCAGCTAATGAGAGCACCTCCTCACAGGGAGAATTGCTAATCTCATTTGCCCCACTGTTCATCTGGAGTCACTCCTTGTCCTTCCATACTCTGGATTAACAATGGTCTCAATGAAACCAGATTTCAGAAAGGATGAGTCCAGAGTGATGTGGAAGAGGTCACTGTGTAGCAGTGCTAACCCCCTTCCCACCTCCCTCACCCCCCAGATCTAGGAGAAGGACTCGGGGCACAAATTTAGTAGCAGCCCCAGAGCCTCTGCCATGCCCTTTGCCTGGGACCCCCCTCCTCCCATTTTGCAAATTAGAGAGAGGAAAGTGGAAAATCAGAGGGATTTTATATCAGTTGTTGATAGGAGGTAAAATTGGAGCGTATTTCACATCAATCTTTGAAAAATGAATAGAGAGGAAATGGGCAACAGTTGCAAACATTTTATTTCCATGTTGAAGAATCTGAGAAAAGGTGTAAATCTGAGGTTTACTTAGTATTTTATAATTAAGGGAGACAGGGAAAATCTCAGGGCATATTCAATTAGAAATGGACAACTAGAGAAAAAGTGGGGCAAATGTTTAGGGTATTTCATAACAATCTTTGAGATCTGCAGAGAATACGTGTCACAAAGTAATTGATAACATGAGAGAAAAACACCAAGATCAGAGGGAATTTTATATTGCTATGAAATAACTAGTTGGAAAAGAGGGACTGTTTGACTAGATTTTATATGACTGTGCAATACATAAACAGAAAGTGATGGTTCCCCGTCTGCCACCATTCACACGGGCAGCGGGGAGCCATTTCAGGAGGCGATTTAAGAGGGTGGCGGCGGAGGAGGAGCGGGAAGGCTTCCTGGGTGAGGGAAGGGGGCAGCAGTGGGGGATGGGCAGGTGAGGGTCAACGGATAGCTGGGGGCAATTGTGTTGGCAGTTTGGGGCCAGCAAGTGGGATTGGGAAACCGGGGTCTGGGCAGTCTCCACGGGGGGGCACTTGCTCCTCGCTTCCCCCACCCTGACAGAGAAGAGGATCCCATCCCCACTCCAGGGGCAGCCATGTTTTGGGGACCGACTCAGGGAACAATTTCTCACCTAGACACGGACAAATCGCTGCAGATAAAATGGGTGGGAAAATCCCCCACACCGGAGATGTTAAATTGACATTTGAGAAAAGGGGAAGAACTGGAGAGAATTTGTATCAGGGTGTGAGAGGCACCAGCAGGGAAAGGATCCAATTCACTCACCTCCCGCCCCCCCTTCTCCCCCGGGGGTTTCCTGAGGCTGCACAGGGACCGTTCAAGGCCCCCCCGGACCCCCCCCCCCCGGTCCCGGCGGCGCGGGGCAGGGCCTGGCTGCGGCTCCCCTGGGGCTGGGCAGCCCCGAGGCGTCTCCCAGGTGCGGCAGGACGCGGCCCCGCGGAGGAACGAGCTCCTGGCCGCAGCCTGGGGCCGGGCCGCCGCCGGGGGGGCCGCTCGCTGCCCCCGTCCCCTCCCGGGCCTGCCCGGGCCCTGTTGCCGGCAGAGAGCGGCCCCCCAGCCCGGCCCCGCGGGGTCGGGGTCTCCCAGCCTCGCCCCTTCACCCGCTGCCCCGTCCAGACCCCGCCGGGGGGCGCTGGGCTCCCGCTGGGACAGCAGCTCCGAGCCCCCCCGGGCGCGGCCCCCCCGGGAGCAGGTCCCGGCGCCGCCCGAGGCCGGGTCCCCGCGGACACTGGGGCAGCGTCACCGCCCCGCCCCCGGGGCTCGCTCCGGTACCTGGAGGCGGCAGCTCGGCAGCGGGGCGGGCAGGGCCCGGGGCGGCCCCAGCGGGAGCAGGGCGCGGGCCGGGCGCGGGGGGGTTAATGAAGGTCGCCCCGGCACAGACCCTGCCGCTCAGCCC